GAAGGACAACGAGAGAAAGGAGAGATAATGAAAAGAGACAATGATAAAAAAATAGCAAAACACAAGTAACTCCCCGAGGTCTCCAGAACCCTCCCCCCCCCTCCCACCGGCACCTACTTGAAGTACTCCTCAGAGGGTGACATCAAGGAAGTAGAGTTAGGCTTGGGCTCGTCTGAGGTGAGGCCGTCCCAGCAGTCATCGGTGTTCCAGGTGTTGTTGCACGACGTCCAGGGCAGCACGTAGCTGAAGGAGGCGTAGACGAAGTGGATGGACCAGGCGATGATCACGTTGTAGTAGAAACTGACGAAGTAGGCCACCAGCACGGCGCAGTAGCCAACGCCTGAAGGAAGATAGACAGATAAGAAGTCGTAGTAATGATAAAAAAAGTGTTACTGATGAAAAAAAGTGCTGATGATAAAACAGTAAAATGCTGATGATAAAAAAAGTTGTGTTGATAGAAAGTAGTAATAATAAAAAAGTGCAGATAAAAAAGTTATGTTGATGATAGAAAAATTAATGTTGATGAAAGAAAAAATAGATTGCTGATGATACAAAAAGGAAAATGCTGATGATAGAAAAAATATAGTGCTGATGATAGAATAAATAAAATGCTGATGAAAGAAAAAAATAAATTTTGATAAAAGAAAAAAAAATGCTGATGATAGAAAAAAATAGTGCTGATAGAAAAGAAAATAATGCATTGATGATAAAACAAAATAAAATTCTGCTGATAAAAAAGAGAAGAAAAATGTGTACTTCAGTGCATGTAGTTTTGAGAATGAATCCACATATAAATCTTATATGAGTTAAGACCACATGTCATTTTTTGAAAGGCGGTCCATAAATCTATTGGGTAAGGGGAAAAATGCACAACATAGGCTTATTGAAAGAATAAACCTATTATCGTTCTTCAAGCCGATTTTGAAAGCCAGTGCCTATAACAATTTTGAATAAGAATTTTTGGAAAGCACTAAATTTCTACATCTCAAGGAACCCCATCCCTCACCAAAAGAAAAAAAAAAATAAACATAAAGTGCATACTATTATCATTATTATTATTACTATTATTATTATTTATTTATTATTATTATTATCATTACTATCATTACTATTATTATTATTATCTATTATTTATTATTCATTCCTCATTACTATTATCATTCCATTATTCTCATCATAATTATTGCTATCATTACCCTAACGACACTAAAAGGCAAGGAACACCGACCTCTGAACAAGGGGCACACTTTCCATACGGTAATGGGTCCCTGGCGGTTGTACTGGCCGAGCACCAACTCCATGAAGAAGAGCGGCAGCGCCCCGAAGACTGTGATCAGGAAGTAGGGAAATAGGAAGGCACCTGCGGGGAGTCAGAAGGGGGTTATGCGACGGGAAGTATAGACTCTGGTATTATATTATGATGATTTGCGTAATGGAGTCGGAAGGAGGTTATGCGACGGGAAGTAGACTCTGGTATCATATTATGGTGATTTGTATAGTGGAGTCGGAAGGGGGTTATGCGACTGACAGGATAGACTCTGGTATTTTATTATGATTTGCGTAATGGAGTCAGAAGGGGGTTATGCGACTGGAAGTATAGACTCTGATATCTTATGATTTGCATTATAGAGTTGGAAGGGGGTTATGCGACTGACAGGATAGACTCTGGTATATATTAGGATGTTTGTATAATGGAGTCAGAAGGGGGTTATGCGACGGAAGTATAGACTGGTATTTTATGATTTGCATTATGGAGTTGGAAGGGGATTATGCAACGGGAAGTATAGACTCTGATATCTTATGATGATTTGCATTATGGAGTCAGAAGGGGGTTATGCGACGGGAAGTATAGACTCTGGTATCTTATGATGATTTGCGTAATGGAGTCGGAAGGGGGTTATGTGACTGGAAGTATAGACTCTGATATATGAGCGAGGTCTCTAAACGTACTTCTATCGTCGACCCTGATATTTTATTATGATGATTTGCCTAGTGGAGTTGTAAGTGGGTTATGCAACTGCCTGTATGGACTGATATTCTATTTTATTATGATGATTTCAATAATGGAGTCGGAAGGAGGTTTCGTGACTGCCAGTAAAGAGTATTGGTTGGTTTGTAAAAATTGTGGAGGCTGGACACAATTTATATTCATCATACGGACATGCATATACATTGTGTAAGGCCAGACACAAAGAATGTTCATTATACAGACATAGGTATACATAGAAATATATGCAAATCTATCAGTCTAGACATGCATATCTACTGGGCAGATAGATAAATATCTATGTATCAGAGAGGTAGAGAGACATATTTATTTCTGTGAATATGCATGTCTGTATATGTGAATGTTCATTGTTGAGCCTCACATAAATTTTAAAAACTGGTCGTCTAATATCTTATTATGAAGATCTGTATAGTGGAGTTTATTTGTATGTGCTTGGGTGCTGAGCGAGGTCTATGATAAGTAGTTCTATAGACCCTGATGCTGAATGTTCCT